GGCCAAACTTGTTGCGGGTTAGGAAAACAGTGCTTAGCGTTCCAGATATAGGTATATCAAGCCATTTACGGATATAACTGTTGACTTTCGAATCAATGTTTTCGGTGACCCACGTTTTCGATGCGCTAGAAACTGTAAAATGCCAGGATAATTTTGACAGAAGATATCGAGTGCAGAGGAGGATTTTATTTTTTGGATGTAATGGTTTGGAATCAATATCTGCCATTAGTTCTTCAACGAGTGAGATTAGTTCAGACTTGTGGTGTTCGTCTGACATATTAAAACTAAAGTATCTTCCTAAGTATTGAAAAGCCTCACCGATATTGATCATTGGAATTAGTTGCTTGTTAATAAGTAGTTTAGGCAAGTATTGGATAGATTTTGTTAGAGCTTTTTTGATGCCAAAGGTACTGCATTTATCAACCCGAATAATCATGTTGGACCATTGGCACCAGATGGAGAACCGGTTTAGAAGATGTTGATTTTCGGATTCTTGACTACTTATGACGGCGGCATCATCAGCAAACTGAAACCAGTGGATGGGATTTAGAAACTGTAAGGAGAAGCCGAATTGACGATATTTATCTGTTTTTATGTGTTGTATAAAGGTGTTGAAACACATGTTGAAGAGAAGAGGACTCAGGAAATCACCTTGCAATACTCCACGGCGAACTGGTATGAAGGGGGTACGGAATTCGGATGTAATTATTGAAGTTTTAAAATCGGAATATAGACTTTTAATTATCAATTTAACATGTTCAGGGATATGGTGGTAATCAAGTACGGATGTGATCAGATTATGATGAACTTCACCAAAAGCGTTCTTGAGGTCAAGTAGGGTGATGACTAGTGAGCGTTGTTTGATTCGGGCTTTATTGATTATATTGGCCATTTGTGCAGTATGTTCTAAGGTGCCAGACATGTTAGGTGTGAATCCCTTTTGAATATTATGTTCTATAAAGTTATTAACGGTTAGGAATGAATACATAGCGTTACGTAGGCAGGAAGTGAATACTTTTAATGGTATGGTCTCCAGTGTGATGGGTCGGAAATTGGACGGGGTATTAGTATCGCCTTTTTTTATGGATCAGTATTGTGCAAGCTTTCTTCCATTCTGAAGGGATGGTTCCAGATAGCCACACGGCACGAATAAGGTCAGTTAAATATGTTCTTAGGAAAGGACAGCGTTCAAAACATATAATAGATAGCTGATCAAGGGGACATGGAGAGCCAGATGCCTTCGTGCTGCGTATTATATTCGTGACTTGATGATACGATTGGGGGTCAAGGTCAAATTGAACTTCGGGGTCACACAACGCAGGAATCCAGCTAGGAATATTTTGAACAATTTGTTTGGAAAAATTGCAGCAAGGGTCTTAGTGAAGTGGGATAGGCATTGCGTCATGTTGAAAGATGGTAATATAGTGTCTTTCTTCCTTAGAATATTCTTGACATAACCCCAGAAATTTTTCCCGATATATTTCATAATAATGGAAACTTTATTTATTGATTATTAGGATATATACAACTACAATGATAAACCTCGCTTTACAGTTAGTTTATCAATGTCTATAATAATAATAATAATAATAATAATAATAATAATAATAATAATAATAATAATAATAATAATAATAATAATAATAATAATAATAATAATGGAAACTTTATTGAAATTATATACGTATATATACAATTATAAATCTCACTAATTTAGGTAATTTATAATTGACTACTTGAACCTACTTAATATTTATATATTAATAATGAGTATCCTTAAATGTTCAGTAATTCCGGATTTAACCAGTCCTTATCTCTGCAGCAAAATATATAATATGTTGTCCTAATCGCGATAGACATAATTTTCCTGATAGCGAAATATTGGTGTCTTTTATCAAGACCTAGATCATTTAACATATCTAAAAAGGAATGACATTCTTTTGAGAAAACGCCTAAAGAACTGATTGACAAATTTACAAATTTTACGGACTTAAATTGTTTCTTTTGCTGTGTAATGAGATCTTCGTATCTTCTTCTTTTCCGATCAACATTTGTTTGTAGATTAGACTCATAACCAACAGAAAGTTCAAGGATATAGAGACAATCCGAGTTGATAGATAGAAGTAGGTCTGGGCGGAATGTGTCACCAGTTACAATTGATGGGCTTTTTTAACCAGGAAGATCGACGAAAAGATTGGAGTTGTTTACAGGTTGTAGCGTTTGTGCTATGAAGTTCAGAACAGAATCATGTCTCCATGTAAATCGTGGGAGGTACTTTTGACATCCAGCAACTACGTGTAAAAGGGTTTCAGGGTTTAAGCAGAAGGAGCAATCAGAGTTGGACAATATTCCCCATTTAGTAAGGTTTTTACGAGTTGGAAGTCAGTTATTAATGTAACGAATGGTTAAGTTATAGATGTTCTTTGGGAGGTTTGATTGCGATTTAGACCATATGCCGTTTAATTTCAACAGTGAAAACTTAATGACATTTGAGAAAAGGAGCCTTGCAAAATCAGATGATTCTGCAGTTTTTCTTCTTGTCCGGAGGTAAAAGTTTTAAGGACTTCCTTTGTCGAGGTGTAGACGTCGTAATAATAATAATAATAATAATAATAATAATAATAATAATAATAATAATAATAATAATAATAATAATAATAATAATAATAATAATAATAATAATAATAATAATAATAATAATAATAATAATAATAATAATAATAATAATAATAACAATAACAATAATAATAATAATAATAATAATAATAATAATAATAATAATAATAATAATAATAATAATAATAATAATAATAATAATAATAATAATACAACTTTATTCATCATTTCATTATATACAATAATGCTTTTGTTATCAATGACTATATTAAATAATCTGTTCTTTGGGTATAATTAAAAAAGTGTCTAAATGTTTGCTGATATGTACAGTTAAATTTTAAAAACAAACTCTGGAACATATACCGCTACATAATTAAAATATTTACCGCTAAGTAGCTAAATAACTAAACTAAGATATTCCGCTAAATAACTAAACAACTAAACTTTGTATATGTACAGTCTAAAATGTTTGAGAGATAGCACTCTCGGTGTTCTCAATGTTGAAATCAATGTTCTTAATATCATACATGATTTTCCTTGCCCTTGAATCCCTCAAGCAGGTAAGTGCAGATCTCAATAAAGCAAATGAGGTTCTGGCTCTTATCCAACTCATAGTTGTCGCATAATCTTCGCCTTTCTTCATGGCTACCAACTCTGCCAATCGACTATGGTATCTCACACATTCCTTGCCCATACCGCCTGTGGTGGTGAATACGAATGGCGTAAATGGTCCTTGCTCTATTTCGAAAACTCTCCTTGCATATAGGCGCTTCTTCTCGTTTTCGTGTATCTTGTAGACTTGGCGTAGCTGCAGGTCCTTGTACGAATCAGCATTGGGATGACAAACCCTTACATCAAAAAAGGCTGATCGTTGACTTTCCCAGAACCCACGCGCACGAATGGCGAGTCTAGCATCAGGTGCTCTGTTGGATCCTCCATTTAGTTGCTCTTCCCTAGATGTCTTGTAGGACAGGCTCAACTTGGACGTCACTACAGACAATGTTGAGGAGTTCCGCTTCCAGATCTCTTAACTCATTGTGGCGCATAATTACAAAGCCTCCACGTTTGCATATCATGCCATGGTCGACCGTTAAGATATCCCCACATACACATATGGAGGGGATGTCGTCGATTGGCCAATCATAGCGCAGCTTTACGGCGTTCCGAAATTCTCTCTTATTCAAGTTGAATCCCTGCTCTTTTAGGGGAAGTGCTGTGAGCCACACAGATGATCCTTTTTCCAAAGCCACATCTAATATACGCTGAATTCTTGGTGGTGCACTCTCTCTAATACGTTCTGCCCTCTCCTCCCACTCTTACACTCTTTCTTTTCTAACGGCTTGTTGCGCTGATTTTATATGCGACTCGTCGGGTAGCTAATGGAACTGCGCCACAATCTGATCAACAAGAGATGCTGTCACTATTTTTGACGACACATACTGACGTTCTGCCTCATGACTTGGATTATCCAAGCCCAGGCCACCCAGACGTGCTGGAAGTGCTAGAATGTCCCGATCGAGTGGATTTCACCGGTGATCTGTGATAGCGGGGATGAGAATCTGCGATATTGCCTTTTCGAGTGGCTCTAGTAGGTCCTGGATGTCTGGTAGGGTTCTTAGGAAGTAGGTCCAACGATGTTTCAAACCAAATGTGTATGCGGCATAGGACGCTTGTGGTTGGGACAGTGCAAATTCGGCGAATTCTGTCACTTCGTTGACCCAATTAGAGACCTTCTCATTAACATATTCCTCCAGATACTCTCGTGAACCTAGCGTTGCTCCCAGATGTTTCTGCCCATGCACTGTTACATTGATATCCGTTCCATGGAAGACTTCTCTCACACTTTCTTCCTTTTCGGGCTTAACAATAATCCAGCATTTCTCGTCTTTCGGAAAATATCCCAAGTTTGGACCAAGAGTATTCAATGCATCTCACCAATCTTTGATTTGTGTCACACGACCAGCTCCACTCACATCGTCTGCGAACCAACACTGCTTCACAGTAGATGCGGCCTGTAGACTCGTGATCAAAAGCAGGGTACTTATCGCATAAAAGGCCATTGGCAAAGGATCTCCTTGTGTGGTTCCTTCTGCTGACGCAATCTCTTTGCCGCCAACATTAAACAGCCGATCTGGCTGTCTGTAGGTGTTTATAGCGTAGGCAGCGTTTATCGGACATAACACACGGATGTTATGCAGAGCCACAGTTCTGTTGAGTGCATTGAATGCATTGGAAGCATCGATAAGTAAAACAGCATCAATGTCATCAGCTTCAAACAGGGTGTTCATTGCATGTATTGCAGCCTCACTTCCAGACTTTTGCCCAGCGCATATTTGTAACGATCCACTTGCTTCCACAACATCGTTCTTTGCAAAGTTCATAACTCATTTTGCACTTATCCTCCTTATTACCTCTCCTACTCCGATAGGTCTTACCGCACCTTCGCCTTTGTCTAGGGGAATTAAACGACTAGCAATCAATGCTTCAATAGTGGTAGGATCGATATATTGTGTGCACAAAGTCTTGGTCATTCTGGCTATAGCTTCGCACAGTCTTGTAGATGATTGCTTAAAGGACTTACATGCCAACATTCTTCTAAAGCCGTTAGCATCGACACCAGACGGGCCTCCGGATCCTTTTGTTCTCAAAGCGGCTTGTCTAACCATCTCACCATTGATCTGTGAGTAAATAGATTCGGGTATCTCGTCATTAGAGTAAATAGATTCGGGTATAGAGTAAATAGATTCGGGTATCTCGCCAAATAATACCGATCCGAGCTTTGCTGGTTGTGGCTCAGGATGCTTCTATTTTAATTGCGTCATTACATCGTCAGTTAAAGTTAACACGCCGCCATTTGAGGTTTCACTCAGGAAGCGAAGGGCTGAGTTGATTGACCTTCTAGCACAAGCTTAGCAAAGACTTTAGCTTTATCGGGGTGGTTTGATCCTTTAAATTTTCCAATACAACTTTGTATGATTCGTTCTTCACGTATTAGCTTACTGATTTCACCGTCCTTCCAAAGTGCAAGTCGCTTTGACAAGGCATCTTGATGGTCCTTTGCCTTGGACTTCGGGTTTGGCTTTTGAAGCCCAACGGCGAGAAGTGAGTCTAAATTGTTGTATTATGTTATAGTATATGTTATAGTAAGAATTTATGGTAAAAGTCTAAGCCTAAATTTTGGCACGAGAATTGTCTACTTCGAAGTCCGTTTCTTGAACGTTCGTTGTTATCCTCCTGGGTGCTCTAATCCTTCTGGGACAAAGTAGAGCTGACCGCAAGATGGCAAAGGAGACCTTGGCTCGTATCCAGGACATGGTCATAGTGTAGTCTTCGCCTTTCTTCGCTGCTATGAGCTCGGCCAATCTGCCATGATACCTGTTGCACTCTTCACTCATGCCTCCAGTCGTTGTAAATACTAATGATGTAAACGTTCCGTGTTCTATCTCCATCACTCTTTGGGCATACATCCTCTTCTTCTCGTTTTCATGTTGCCTGTATATCCGTTGAGGGCTCAGGTCTTTGTAGGATTCCGCGTTGGGATGACAAACCCTAACGTCAAAGAACGCGGACCTTTGTTTCTCCCAAAACCCTCAAGCGTGGATATCTACGCGAGCGTCGGATGCTGTATTTGCTCCACTTGTTAAAACCTCGCCAGTTAACTCTTGAAGAACGGGTTCAACCTCGACATCATTGCAGACGATGTTAAGCATATCAGCCTCAATATCTTGCAGCTCGTAGTGGCGCTGTATGATGAACCCACCTCGCTTGCAGATCATTGCGTGATCAATATTGAAAGTATCGCCACACACGCATACTGATGGCTTATCAGCAATTTTCCAATCATACCTCAGCTTTACTGCGTCTCGAAACTCGCCCTAGTTCAGATTGTAGTCCATTTCCTTAATGGGGATAAGCGTTAGCCAGTTGGATGCACCTTTTTCAGTTGCTAGTTCCATAGCACGCCGTATTTTCGGGGGTAGAATAATAATAATAATAATAATAATAATAATATATTTTAATAATAATAATATATTTTAATAATAATAATAGTAATAATAATAATAATAATAATTTTTTTTTAAACAACAGAAATCTTTATTAATAACATGATAATTTATACAAATATATCACATATTAATTAGACTTTCAATTAAATCAGGAAAATAGAGAAACAGTTCACTATATTAGACAGATAGGTCCATTCTCTACACTTTATATCAATAGTAGCTAATAAAAATTCAGTAAGTCTGGGTTATTCCACAGCTTATTTCTTCTGCAGTAAATGTAGAATGTTGTTCTCAGAGCTACCTCCATACATTTTTTAATAATACGTTCGTCGTTCATTTCATGTGTTCGTAATAATCTACGAAATCTGTCAATATCTTTCGACATAAACCCTAGAGTGGTTACTTCAAGTGTAATAACTTCAAACGGATAACACGCCGTGATCAGCTCAGATCTTAGATGTCTGTATCTTTCTTTCTTGCGACGTTTAGCCTTCGTACAATTGGTTTCGTAGCGAACAGTTAATTCAACCACATATACAGAACCCTTAAAATCCACCACTATATCAGGTCTTAGCGTTCGAAATAAAGTTGAAGTACAGGTCATACCTGAATTAGGACAGTCCGCAAACAGTCGAAGATCTGCACCAACTGCGACTTTTAAGATCTGCACCAACTGCGACTTATAATAATAATAATAATAATAATAATAATAATAATAATAATAATAATATTTATTATTTATTATTTTTTATTTAATATTTATTTATTGATTATTAAGATACATATAATTACAAAGATAAACCTCACTTTATCAATATCAATGTTATATAATATTGTTATATAACAATATCAATGTTATATAAAGTTGTCAATGTTTTTAAGATTACGTTGCATGAATCACGACGACAGTAGCAACAATTCATAGATAGGATACATACATATACAGAAAAAATGTTTATCAATTAAAAGAATGCAACTTAGCAACAGTGAATTAGAAATCTTCCCTAGCTTGTTTGATTATTGCCATATTGCACTGAAGCTTAAAAAATTCTTCTTTGTTTCCTCCCTTGTCTGGATGGTGTTGAAGACACAACTTGCGGAATGCGGTGTTGACCTCTGCGTTAGAGGCAGTCATTTTCACACCCAAATATCGATAAGCGTTTTCCAGAGCTTCTTCTTTTGGTAACCCAAACAGCTTTTGTGTCATCCAATCCGAGAGATAACTCATTCCAGCTGCCGAGACCCACCCACCAACTATACTTCCTACCACAGCCCCAACAGGACCCCCTACTGATCCAATAGCTGCTCCAGCAGCACCTCCTGCCATACCTGCTCCTATTGTGAACGTGGCATCCAGCACATTTTTTATGCATCGTTTTCCTGATATTTCACCTTTCCACCAACGCCGAATATTGTCATAGGCATTGTAAGTGAGGTAAACAGCAGCCAGAGCCACCATTACGACTGTGCCTCCCGTTTTATCTACCAGATTAACAGCATCATCTACTGCAGTTACCATGGCTGGTTCAGATGCCATTCCTCTTAGGAAATTCAGAACAGAAGCTTTCGATTCATGTGGACTGATACTCCAAGCTCTTGCCAAGCCACCAAAAACTGATATAAATCTAGCAGAATCACATTTCAGGGGTAGGCTAGGATCTGACGCCTGATCATTTTCTATTCCAGTAGTGGTGTCGCTATGGGACTTCGTTTCCGCATAAAATATGTTCATACGTTTTTGAAACTCCTGATCTTTTTCTGCTTTTCTTGTTTCATTGGACAGCCTTTTGGCAAATTCTAAAAAAGCTGTTTCATTCTCCAATGTGACTTTCAAAGATTTCCATTGTGGTGCGTAAGGTCGAGCGGCGTAGTCTTTGTAAGCTTTATCTTCTTCGTCAAGGAAGAACAGTACTCTGCATAAATCTTCTCCTTTGTCTTTGAACACTTCAGCGAGTTTACCACGTACTTCGTCTTTCCAGCTTTCTTCTGTTGCGTCCATGTCAAGAGTCCTCCTACAAAATCAATAAAAAAGGAAGTTTATGAGTGTATAACATTTGCAGAATAATTATAGAGGCGCCATGTGGTAAACAGTACTTTGAGCTGTTTGTGCCCCTGTATTTACATAGCAAAATTTTTCAACATAGCGCTTGTACTTTTCGAACGAGGGGAGGTGCTAAACAACCTTGTAACCAGGCTCTTTGCTCTTGGGAAGCAAAGACCCTGGTCGGAGCTGGTCACGCGAACCCCCAGATTTTGGGGGTAAATTATAAATTCAATTAGGGAGGGGAGGGAGAGGAGCGCGTTTGTTCCCTTTGGAAATATTCATATTTTCGTTGTGATGAATTTGTGCGTAAATATGTAAATTTTACTTCTATTTCATAAGTATAAATCTGTAAATCTTTAGAAATAAAGCAGTAAAATTAAATAAATCCTGTATGGAACACAAGGAGTATTAAGTTACACTCCAAGCATGTTGGTATAAATAGGATCGTATTTCCACAGCGTATTCACGCAATCGAGTCGATGACTAGCAAAAGCACGCCGAAAAAGTACTACAAACAAGGAGATTCTACTGGAACTATTTCACGTTGCAGACTTTGCAATTGTGTTGCTGATCCAAAACATAGTTTTTGAGGAAGAATCAGGCAATTCTACACAATGCTGAGAAAATATTTGGCGGCGAGTTGCCACACGAAAGCAATTTTCCTGTTCATATTTGTGCGCCTTGTGAGAGAAGGCTAAACAATGCCATTCAGTTTAAGAACGTAATAACAGAGACTCAGAAAGCGTTAGCTGAAAATGTTCGCACAAAACGTTGTGTAGACCTATCGCCAACTGTTGTACGGCCCACGAAATTGCAATATGCTGGGAGTTAACGTCAACGAAGCATCGACCTCAATGTGTCAACCACTGATGATACTCAAAGTGCATCCCCAAATATGCTAGTAAGTAATCAAGAACTGTTCTTTTTCCAATATATTATTTAATTATTGTCCTTCATGAGTTATTAAATGCTTAACTATTGAGTTATTGAATATTTTGCGCCATCAATGAGCGAATTCATGATCATGAATAGATTCATTCATTCATGCATATATTATAGTATTTATTGTAAACAAAATATTGATCCTAGTTTATTGACAATCGTTTTATATCAAGTCTCAAAAAAGATTATTAAGTCTGCACTAACATTAGATTAAAACATTTTCTGTTTTTCTTGTTTTAAGAGTGCTCCAGTGTTAGTCGATGCATCGCCATATGTTCTAAATCATGCGAACAAAGAACTCATTGAAGTTGCAAGGAGAGGCAATCCATCGGTCCTGAGGCAGAGATCATTTGATGGGTTAAGTTCTGAAACATGGATGGCTGAACTCATAAACGAAATGAAAACAAGGTGTCTTATGGCTCATCAAATTCTTTCTGGGCTGTTCGAAAACAGCATTTATCCAGATAAGAGGAATCCTGCTTTGTGCTTAATTTATGGCATCATAATGTTCCTAAGATGTCATGAGTTAAGCAAAATACAGAGAATAAATTCTGTTTTACTCATACAAGGACAAGCATCTGTTAACGTAAGTTATTCTTAACAGTTTTGTATTTATGTTTCTGAGTTCTAATTTATAGTGTCATACAGTATGCTTTATCACGTTGACAAATAGAATTTGTCCAATAACGACTTATCACAGACTTGCTCTGCAATTGTACTTTAACATCTCCCCCCTCGCAAGATTATATTGTAATTTTTGATTTCAATACTGACCCCCTCTCCCCCTTGTGGAACAAGTCAGCGATCTGTCGACACTGAACAGAATACATACTGTATTTGTCAATAACCTTGCGCTCAGCTGTACTAAGAGGATAGTTGATGCCACAGCTACACATCCGACAGTAAAAACTCAGTGCACTATCCCCTGTTGGTCATGTTTGGAATTAGTTTAATAACTGCTAGAACTAAAACTATGTGTTTGACACATTTGTGAATTGGATTCATATTGTATACAGGGTTTGTACAAAACTTGAAAGTCCTTGAATATGAAAACAAAAATTCAAGGCCTTGAAAGTCCTTAAATCTATAACGAGGTACTTGAAAGTCCGTGAATTTGTTTTGCTTCAGCTTTCCGACATTGTATTTTCTGAAATTTGTTATATTTCACAGTTGTAGATTAAAACCACCTTTAGGAATTTCAAACCCCTGCCTGGAAAGTCCTTAAAAGACCTTGAATTTTAATGTTCCTTACCTGTATGAACCCTGTGAATGTTGCAGGCAAAGATGTTCTGGGGGGTTCACTCCCCCAGAAATGATTTGCACCCCCCAGAAGCATTGGGCAACGCCCCAAAGGTTTTTGCACCCCCGAAAATTATATATATTTTGATTTGATAGTGTCATATTTGATTGTTCTTATTACTAAATTGGTAAAATTACCAATATTATGGTCTCAGATCTCACCATGCAAGCCTAGAAAACAAATTTTGTTAAACTTTTTCCTTGGCCTTTCCGGGCGTTGCCACCACGCCCCAGTCAAAGCAAGCAGCAGCACCCCCCAGATAATTATCCCCCCCCCCGAACGAAAATAGGAAAATCGGTCTCTGGTATATTGATTTTTATTTTGTGTCATTGTTAGATGATTGCTGAATTAAATAAGTATGGTTTCTGTCGTGAGCCAAAAATGAAGTACAACATCCTCGATGACATTGGCAATCATTTTCTTGACCGTGCTGCAGAGTTGGTGAAGTCTGGACACAGGTTTGTGTATGTCCTCGACAACATTGATTGGGAAGAAAAAGCCCATGATATGAGACAGGATGTACAAAACCGAAGTGTGCATGCAGTTGCTACCAGCATTGTGTTTAATAGAGTTCCAGAAAAAGATTTACCAAACTCTGGTCCACAGAAGAATCTACATCACTGTAATGTCGACGATCTAGTGATTGTGAATGATGAAGACACCAAAACAATTCGAGCCCGCTACCTTTCAATCATTGCAAAACTATTTTTTTTTTAGCATTTTCCAGCATTTGAAATGTTTAAATAATACACCCCTCAAGTAACTGAGTGCGCATATGCCAAGAAAATGTCAACACGGTCAGAAGTCATCACAATGCCAGTTGTAATGAAGGATGAGAAGAAGTATGCTGAATGTGTTGATGTTTTGGATCAGCTGGAGAAATGGACCCATGAGATATATTCAGCTGCTGATCTGTGTTCTCCTGAGCCTGAATCCTCCAACGAAATCACCCCTGTAATTACAGCCCATTCCAGACCTGATCAACCTGCCTCACATGTACCACCTGCTGCAACCGAGAGTGATCCATTGCATGGTGTGAAAATACCATGCTATGGAGATCAACTCACCCGTGTCAGATTTGCTGGTGCGAAAGATCTACGTGCTGGGTGCCATTCTCCAAAGCAAAGGTTGGATCATCTGTACCCAAGCCTGAGGTGACTAATTGTTTTAGTGTAAATTCATTATTGAAAAAGTTTTATTTATAAATACAACTAATACATGTGTTTATTTTTTAATATAATTTGCATATTAAATAATTTACCTGTGTTTGATTTTTAGCTATTTTTTTTGGGAAAAGCAATAGTTACTGCTCAGAGCAGTCTGGGCAGTAACTATTGCCTAAGAGTTACTGCTGAGGGAGCCAATTAGAATGCTCAAAGGCCATTTTTCAATATTGAATATATATATATATATATATATATATATATATATATATATATATATATATATATATATATATATATATATATATATATATATATATATAGAAAATGTTTCAATGTGCAACCAAAAGAGACATTTATAACGTAAAATAAAATAAAAGCCACTCAAATTTTGCACAAACGTTTTCGCTTTAATGTTAGCTCCTCAGGTGCATATTTACAATGAGTGCATGAATTTAGTTTATCTATTATCTACGTTCTATGATATCATATTATAATAACTATGTTAGGAATGCATATATTTACATGGTGTGAAGTCACCCGTTAAAAACATTCTATTGATCTAAATGTAAGCATAAACTTAATGGTTTTTTAATTAGCGTTCAGATCCGGATTCAGTATATTGATAAGTTCTTTTTCTTTCATCTCCCTAAAAAGTCTGTCCGTGTTAATGCATTGATATATAGGCATTATTTTGAAAATTCCGTTGTTACACATATTTAAGTGTTCGCTTACTTTTAGATGTCTATACTCTTCGTGTCGAATTTGTTCCTTGTGTAATGTCACTCTTTTTCGTAAGTTTTCTGTCTGGCCGACGTAGAAGCTGTCGCATTTTGAGCAAATGATCACGTAAATGACATATCTCGCTTTGCAGTTCATCGTTGAATTGACTTTCCAGGTTTTTCCGCTCTTTAATGTAACAGACTTTCCTGTGATTAAAACATCGCATGTTCCACATCGCTTTTCCTCGCATTTTGTTACACAGTGTTCTCTGTCCTCTGAATTGAACTGTGCTTTTGTCAAGTATCGCTTCAAGTTCTTCGGTTGGCGTTTGCTTACAATGAGTTTTGTTCTGTCTAATACTCGTTTCATTTTCTCGGAATTGTTTAGAAATTTAAAGTTCTTCCTTATTTTTTCAATTACTTGAGGATTGTTGGGATTATGAGTTATTACTAAAGGCAAGACATTGTCATCAGTTTTATGTTTTGGTGCCCTCAATTCCTCAATGTTTTTTGATGAAGCCTTCTGTATTCCGTTTTTTATAAGCAATTTCGGATAGTTCTGCTTTTGTAGGAAATATTCTAGTTCATCAAGACGCTTCTTCTTTAAATCTTGATTTGTTACAATTGCACAGATCCGTCTTGCCAGTGTGTAGGGAATGTTTGATTTTGTATGTCCAGGATGACATGAATGATAATCCAGATATTGGTGTGTGTCCGTTTGTTTGTATGTATATCACTTTCTAACCGTTCCGCGTTCTTGTAGAGTAGTATATCCAAAAACGGTAGTTTCTTATTGTCATATTCCATCGTGAACTGTATTTTTGAATGGAGCTTCTGTGTTGACAATTAACCCACACTGAACACATGCAGTCATTATGAGTTCATCAAAATTCTTTTGGTTCAAATAATTTTAAATGGCAGTCTGCTCATTACTGTTTTCTCACTGGCGTGCTTCTGGGGGCTTTGTAGCATTACTTGCTTGCAAAAGCATTTTGCTTAGAAGTGATGTGGTGAAAACATTTTTTTTCCGTTTTATTACTGTGCTAAAATGTGAGGCTTTTGACGACCTCGTCGTTCATGAAACCAAAGTTTCCTTTGTGACTGACTTCTTGTATTCCACTAGATTCAATGTCATTCAATTAAAGAAGCCTGTGATGTTGATTCATCATTCTATGTATATACATGAACTAAATGAAAAACCACAACTTAAGCGAAATCATTTTTATCAAATGCGAGGTGTTATGTTTGCATACAGCGTTAATTGGGGAAACTTTATTGTTTACACAAACAAAGAAGTATTTAGTGAAAGAATTTACTTTGACCGTGAATTATGGTACAAAACAATGTTACCTAAACTTACTTAATTTTATTTCACATATATTTATCCTAAACTAGCTACTTAAGAAAATATTTTAAAATAATTGTTCGATATTTCATTCTGATTCGCACTTATCGTTTATTAAAGGTGGGTAAAATAGAGTGAGGTAAGAACAAATTACCCATACTTTGTTCAAGTCTGATGACATCTTCAGTGGAAAGACATTTTTATAATTATAAAACTAATATTTATGCCTTGTATTGCTCTTTCCACATGCACTCTCAGTGCCGCAATCTTTCGTGTATCGTTTTCGGCGGTGAGTGAAAGTTGACTTCCACCATTAGAAAAGTTGGTATGTTGAGACCAACACCAGCAGGGATATCATCTGCTATATCAAAACCCCTATCTGCCATAATGTCATCTCCCGACTCAAGCAAAGTGAAAATGCCATAATCTTTGGTCACTTGTTTATCAGAAGACTTCCAGCATACATTTCAGATACAAACGTTGGGTACTCACCAGGGGAAATTCTTAGGAAAACCTTACTTCTTAGGAGTTAGGATGCGTTATCCAGTCTTAGTAGATGTCAGGGAGCTATCGCCTTATTCAACATCTCCGTTTATTGAACACAGCAAATTAAAGTAAGGCGATCACTATATCATTAATTTGTTAAGTCGGAACTGTGCTATGGCGCGGAGATATGATCATGCACTAGCTGTTGTAGATCTGTCTGAACTATTGGCGAACATATACATATTATGTAATGAGGGTTAACCGTATCGGGAACTCGCACTCGAATGCTACATTTGTTATTTATTTGATTTTATCACTAGTCACTAACTAAAATTAAGTCAACACTACGCTAAATACTTCGACAGACTTTGATTTATAGCCAGCGTCTGAGGCAAGTTGTAAACGACCTACCATATTCTCTGACTTTGTGATTTACAGCATCGCGTAACATAATTTACTGTTTACTGCAGAAGCCATATTTCAACGGGATATGCAAATTACGAAGGAAGTGGAATAAATCAATGTCCGTGATTTCTGGCCATGTACTATACATCTGGAACACATTTCCAAAAATAAACTAACATATCATATTATATATATATATATATATATATATATATATATATTCATATATATATATATATATATATATATATATATATATATATATATATATATATATATATATATATATATATATATATATATATATATATAGCTTCAGATTTTGGTTTACGAAACACAAACAGTGCTCAATACCATATAGATAGAGCGTAATATAGTTTTTCGTTTTACCTCAAAGAACCACAACAGTCTGTTTCATCCGTATAGGAAGCATCAGGTGGTGAACCCTATACGGATGAAACAGACTGTTGATGATTCCTATACGGATGAAACAGTAGTAAGTAGTAATATAGGGGCCGTTTGACCCTTATTTTCAGGGGGCCGCAGGGGGCCGCAAGGGGGCCGCAGGGCCGCATCATTATATATGCAGGTAATTAAGGGTTCCGCACAAATGAGGGTGCGTAGTGACGTCACTCATTAACACACGTCATAATTATATGCAATGACGTCACGCGGGCGAGCTTAAACACGATCGGGCGAAACTTGCTGACTACGCATTTTTTAGCGTCCCTCCTCATGTATGATACAATACAGGGATTAATGTTGGCTTACTATGATTGGTTGATTGATTTAATGAGCGTCTGTATAAAATCGACAAGCGTCTTGTAACAAGCATAGTTCTGCATTTGACAACTCTCTTATTGGAGGTCTTTTTGGTAGCTGGTTTTGTTAAATATTTCTTTGGAGAGAAGTACTTGAGAAAGAATGGCACAACGACATCTAGAGAATATTGGGTAAGTTTAATTTAAACTGAAAATTAATATAATATCCAGAGTTTTGTGTATGTAATTGACTTCTATATTTTGTAGGAGAGATCAATTTATGAGCGAACTGGAAAATGACGAGGTCAATCGCCAGCTTTGTGCCGTGGACACTTTTTCTTGGTCACCCGAAACTCAGGAGCAAATTCTGGCTGAATGGAACGACTGGCAAAACGAATCGGAGAAGTCGGGGTTATGTTGTTCTGAATGTGGCAAAACGTTTACACGGTCCAACGACCTAAAGCGCCATACTAGACGAATACACACTGGAGAACGACCATTTAAATGTATAGAATGTGGTAAAGATTTTGCGTCTCGTAACAAGTTGAAACGACATGAAAAAATCCACAAGGAGAAGTCATTGGAATGTCATAGATGTCATAAGAAATTTAATCGCAAGGTAGGTTGATATTACAGGACTATTGTGAATTATTTCGATTCTATTTGATATTGCAAGCTTTTCCTTTAAGGACAAATTAAACGACCACATCAAGACGCACGAGAAACGTGGTGCCGAAAGGGAATATACATGTGGTGAGTGTGGTGAGGTGTTTCGAAACATATTCCCATTCCAAGCCCATCAACATGATGTCCATCAAGTTGGCCGTGGGAAACGTACGAAGACGTCGACCGGGCGAACGAAGAGACAAAGAAATGATGAACCAGGTATGTATAAATGAAAATATTTCGATTACTAACTTTGTATTTATACAGATATTTTTTTCTCTTTTAAGAACCGCCAAGACCTTCGACATCGGTGAACGAAGGTAAGAGAGTATATTCTGTGTAATAATTTGAGTTAAAATCACACTAATACATTTTTTCTCCTTTTCAGGAGCTTCCACTTCTACAGTGCAGTCGTCAACGAAGGTATGAAATTCAATTTTTATACCGTATATAGTATATTGATTGTGGTGATTTGCTGTGTATATCAATATAATGTTAATTACTCGGCTTTAAAACATTGCCCGGAGAAGGACTTTGAGATCCTAACGTTTACATTTGAAGAATATTTTCATGTTGTTTCACTGATGTTTGTGTTTTGAAAACCTGATAAAAAATAATCGAGTAATTTTTAAGCGTGGGTTTATAGTGTGAAATTTGCATTTTCCTAATCATTCATATTAGACTTATGTTCATTTGCTTTAGAACAATTAATTTTTATCATTGTACGAGCATTTAAGCTACATCATTTTTATAACATTCGCTAGCGTTTTATAGTGAGGTAAAAATAATCAAGTAATTTTTATAGCGTGGGTTTATAGTGTGGAATGTTCCTAATCATTCATGTTAGACTTATGTAACATTCGCTAGCGGTTTATAGTGAGGTAAAAGTAATTTTGGTTGCGTGGGTTTATCATGTTGCTATGTGAAATTTGCATGTTCCTAATGTATTCATGTTAGACTTATGTAAATTTTTTATGAATCGGGTGTTTGTATGACAAAATTAGTGCGAAGCTCTAGACAAAAATAAAGAATCGGGTGTTATTTCTATAGGACCCCAACCGTTCCCTCAGGACCCCCTATTACCCCCATCTAACCTGCCTTCCCAACTTCACCGAGATCATTGGCGTGCTATACGTACGCGACAAAGCCGAGGCAATCGCGTGCAAGATTGGTACAACTATCGTCTAAGCTCAGCGAATATGGGTCAACTTGTCAACGATATAGACCGTATATTTGAAGATCAAACCACGGTCTTTAAGTTAAATCTCTCCTTTGGTTTCGTATTGTTTAATAACGAGACGCAACAAATGCAATACCACCACCCCTCAGCAAATAACAACCGTGTTTTCGACTCCCCATTCCAAATCCATAATCGTGAAGATTTGGTCCAAGTGCGTAGAGCGTTGGAAAACATCGACATTCATGAATGGGCTCGACAACAGCGTCCCAACTCGAAATGGATTGTCATGGATTTCACCAACGTTACCTTCTACGTCACCAAACTTCGAGACCATCCCATAGGTCGCAGTGTCCGCCTACCCAAATACGTACTGGAGAGTCGTGCCATCGTGTCGTTGGATTGTGATGATAATACAGGCTTACCATACGAAGACAAACTTTGTTTCTTCCGTTGTTTGGCCCTACACCGTGGTTGCCACCCCAAAAATTTAGAACGTGATACTCATCATTATTATGAACAATATTCGGAAGATGATGAATTTGATGGTGTTACCCTAGAGGAACTACCGGAACTGGAAAAGTTGTTCGAGTTAAACATTTACGTGTATCGCCTTACAGAGTTACATGACGAAGATAACGACACAACCTCCATTGTGGCTCAACTGATACAGCGATCCCACCGTAGATATGCCAATTCGATGTATCTGAACCTCTACGGTAGTCACTTCAGCTACATTAAGAATTTGGCTATGTATTCCAAGTCCTACTGTTGTTGCAAATGTGACAAGATGTGGAAGACGGCAAAGGCCTTGAACCAACACGAGCGAACATGCGAAGCAACTATACGTCACATCTTCCCTGGTGGTGCCTACAGAGTTCCACAAACCATATTCGATTTGTTGGCCGACGAAGGAATCGAGATCCCTGACGATCTAAAGTACTTCCCTTATCGTGCCACCTTTGACTTTGAGTGTTATTTCAAACGTGAAACCGAACATCCACGAAATACAGCAAAGTTGATGTGGGAAGCCGAACATATCCCCTTGAGTGTCTCTGTTTGTTCAAACGTCCCTGGTTATGATCAACCCAAATGCTTCGTCTCGTCTGGCAGTACAAGTGAAATGATCCAACAGTTCGTGGAATATTTGGTTGAGGTCAGCCAAGAAAGTTATGGATTGTTGCTGGACCAATTCTCTGACGTTTTTCGTCAAATTGATGAACGAGTTAATGAGGTATAATTCATACGTATTAGATTCTTAGTATATTTCTTATCCTTAATATTTTTTCTTATATCTTTAGGTAGGGGAAAACGAGGTTATGGAAGTTGTCGCGGGGGAGGACAATGAGGTAAATTATAGGAAGGTTATATTTGCACTTATATTCTTTATATTCTAATATATCTTATGTTTTAGCAAAATACAGAGGAACAGATGATAGAGGAAATGGTGGGATGTTTGATGGGGCTGAATGATGAGGTATATAACATAAGGTTTGAGCTCAACAGTGGTCTTTCCAGTGCTTACCATATGTGTACCTTTTAGGTGAGTGAAGATGAAGACGAAGTGGATAAAGATAAAGACGTTGAAGAGAGAGTAAGTATCACACTCATGATCCATTTTAGCGGTTGTTATATAGATTAGTAGGGATGTGCAAGTATCTTGCTTTTTACTTATGACACCTTTTCATTTATTTAGGATGTGGTCCATCCTCTACTCAAACTCCAAGATAAATTGTCAGAATACTTACAAGAGCTACCAATTCTTGGGTTCAACTCTGGTAAATATGATATTAACGCTGCGAAAAACCCCTTCTTTTCACATCTCGTCAAACACGAACAAGTTAAGTTTGTGATAAAGAGGAACAATAACCACATGTGTCTTAAGACTCAGCACTTAAAATTCCTCGATATCACAAACTATCTGGCTCCGGGATTTAGTTACGAACAGTTCCTCAAAGCGTACGAGTGCTCCCAGACCAAAGGCTACTTCCCGTACGAGTGGGTCGACTCCCTCGACAAACTCAATCATTGCTCCTTACCACCACGCGAAACCTTCCATTCCACTCTATCCGGAACCGACATCACCGATGAACAGTATGAGTATTGCCAGGGTGTATGGGACGAACAGAATATGACAACTTTCCGCGACTTTCTCGTGTGGTATAACAACCTTGACGTAGTCCCCTTCCTTGAAGCAATTGATAAAATGAGTAATTTCTGGCAAGAAAGGAACATTGATATGTTTAAGGACGGTGTGAGTGTGCCTGGCTTAACTATGAAATATTTATTTTCAAACATTCCAGGCACCTACTTCTCCTTGTTCAGCGAGAAGGACAAGGATATGTATTATTCAATGAAGGATAATAACGTAGGGGGCCCCAGCATTATCTTTAACAGATACCACGAGAAAGAGAAATCATCCATACGGAAGGAAGAAATGCGAGCCAGAGGAAAAGAATCGAAACCCTGCAAGAATGTAGTTGGTTACGATGCCAATGCGCTCTACTTGTGGGCCATCATGCAAGACATGCCAACGGGACAGTACACAAGACGGTTAGAGGAGGACGGGTTTAAGAAACGGTGGAGTGGAAAAATGGCGATCGAATGGTTAGAATGGCAAGCGTACAGTCGCGGTATTAGTATCAGACACGAGTACAACAACACGGAGAAAAGAATTGGCACTCGTCGTCTCCCTGTTGACGGTTTTCACGCTGAATCACAAATGGTGATTCGGTTTCATGGCAAGTTGTTGTTTTAGTGTAATTAGTTAAGATTAATTAGCTAGGATTAAGTTAATTGTGTGGGAGTGAGCTAATGAGTTTTTAGCGATTGCGTGGGCCTGTAGGATAACTTTATTTTTCTTTTGTAGGTTTAACTGTATTACACTTTATTTTAATAGGATGTTATTGGCATGGGCACAACTGTCATCTGAACGAAGGGAAAGAAGTCAACGAGAAGCGTGATAAGCCGATGAAGGAACTCCTTGAAGAGACCCAAAGAAACAGCGCCTATATCAAGAAGCAGGGATTCAATCTCGTTGAATGTTGGGAATGTGAGTGGCGAGAGATGAAGAAACGAAACACCGCGCTGCAACGATTCATTGCCACGCAACTTCGCCGACCCCTAGACAAAGTAAAAACGATGACAACTCGATCAATTGTCAACGCTGTGAAGAATGATACGTTATTTGGCTGTGTCGAGTGTGATATCCACGTACCTGAGAGTTTGCGAGAATACTTCAAAGAGATGTGTCCAATATTTAAAAACACAGAAATACGTCGAGAGGATATTGGTGAGTTCATGAAGAGCTATGCCGAAGAAAACAACATCATGCCCCGACCTCGGCGGAGTCTCATTGGAAGTATGATCGGAAAGAAGATAATGTTGGCAACTCCTCTTCTAAAATGGTATTTAGAACATGGTTTAGAGGTACGTTTTAAATATTAAAAACTTGTAAAATTGCTGGAGAAAATTTTTAACAAATTGTATTATCGTTTTAGGTAACACACGTCTACCAGATAGTCGAGTATACCCCTAAGCCATGCTTCAAACCTTTCGGTGACGCTGTATCGGATGATCGTCGTGCTGGTGATGCAGGCCCCTCCAAAGCCATCATCGCGGACACGATGAAATTGGTCGGGAATAGGTGAGTTTTAAAATCACGCTGTCTTGACGTATTCAAGAAATACTCATTTTTTTGTATTTCTATACAGCTCATACGGGAAGACCATCACCAACAAAGAGCGTCATCGCAAGGTGGATTACTGCTACGATGACGAGGTCTCTGAATTAATCAACTCACCATTCTACCGCCAAATGAACGTGATCGACGATGACACCTACGAAGTGGAAAGTGCTAAGAAGAAAATAAAGTTGGACTTACCACTACAGGTATGTATTGCATGATCATTTTGTCATTAGAAATATAAATTAATAAATTATTCTTATTTTACAGGTGGGGTTCTTCGTGTACCAGTATGCGAAACTCCGAATGTTACAGTTTTACTACGACTGTTTAGATACATACCTTGACCGTTCCGATTATGAGTATTGCGAGATTGACTTTATTATTGACTTTATTAAAAACGGTACTATTTCACCAAGATATTTATAAAAATTAAGACAGGTGATCTTCCAATAGGCCGTATATAACTATACTAATTACACATATACTACAGTATCTAATAACAATAACTAAATTACACGCAAATTACACACTTACAGTTAGACTATTTTTAAATGTAGAGATAGGCATGTAGTAAAACACTGACTACCGGAACACCGGAACACCACCGGAACACCGGAACACCACCATTTTGTTTGGGGTTAGGGTTTGGGGTTAGGGTTAGGGTTGGGGGTTAGGGTTGGGGTTAGGGGTTAGGGTTGGGGTTAGGGTTAGGTGGTGTTCCGGTGGTGTTTCGGCGGTGTTCCGGTGGTGTTCCGGTGTTCCGGTAGTCAGTGTTTTACTACATGCCGTAGAGATACTTGTTTTAGCTTTTATGTCAGCAGACAGATTATTCCAAGTCTCAGCTCCTCGATAGGCGAAAGACTTTTTCATAAAATTAGTTTTAGGTTTAGGTAATGCAAAATTGAATTCGCTTTGTCTTGTATTGTAATTATGTATTTCATTTGAGGTGATGAAAAGTTCCGTTAAGCAATTTGGTAACATGTTATGTTTGGCTTTGAACATTAGGACGGCTAAATGATGTTTTCTTCTAGTCACGAGATTTGGAAAACCGACCTTGTTCAAAACATCGATTGTACGTGTATCATAGTTTTCACGAGTTATTATTCGAAATGCTCTATTTTGAAGCTTCTGGAGTTTATCAGATAGTACTTTACCCAAACAACCCCAAATCTGTGAGCAATAGTCGAAATGTGGTTGAATTATTGATAAATAAATTTTGATCAGTGTTTGGTAATCTAGAATGTCTCTCAATCTTTTAAGGATACTGAGACCTGAATTAACCTTTTTTGTAATTTGATCAACTTGAGCATTCCATGAGAGTGTTTCGTCAATCATTAAGCCGAGTGATTTGGTCGTTTTGACTCTATTAATTTCTCTGTCTTTTATGAATATATTAGGCGTTATGTTAATATGATTGACATCCGGTGTACCGCAGGCCTGGTTTAAGAGAGGCGTTTGAGAACGATAAATGTAACTGGTTTCCTCGTTCCGATACAACTGAACATGCGAAATACGACAGGAGAAAACCGGGATTGTTTAAAGTGGAGTGGGAAGGGGATGGAATTGTATCTTTATGTAGTAAGACGTATTATTGTTTGGGGGAGAACGATAAATATAGTTGCAAGGGTGTAAATAAGAAAAATAATGTAATTAATAAAGATAAATATTTAGAAGTACTTTTAAGTAAACGTAGTGGGTCGGGTGTAAATAGGGGTTTTAGGGTTTTAAATAATACTATGTGTACATACAGTACTGCCAAGAAATAACTTATCAAAAACCGCGTCCAAGACGCGGGTATCTTGCGTCTTCTGTGCGTCCACGGGCGCCTGCGGGTGCGTCCGTCCTGCGGGCGCCGTGCGCCCGTCCTGCGTCCACTGTGCGTCTGCGGGCGCTTGCGTCCACTGTGCGGGCGCCATGCGTCCGCTTTGCGTCTGCGGGCGAGGACGCAGCTGAGATAGAGTTCTATTCGTATCGTCGTCGGAAATTATCGCGTTTCGCTTTTCATAAACAAACCGTGGGCGTCGGAAAATATTCATGTTAGCGATTTCACACCACGTTTTTTATGCTTATACACCAGCGTTACAGACCTAGAATCCTAGATATTTATATTTCTAATATTAAACTTACCGTGAATTTTCAGAATTTGTGCTTCGTAAAGTTCCTTTTTGTATTTGATCTCTACTTTCGCACCTTCGTATAACGTTTGGTTTAAACCCAGTAATCTTTTAATAGTAGGGTCAAAGCCTTACGCCCCGTGACCAACCTTGGGCTAGTAAAGTTTTATGATTTATTTTCATTATCTAGGGTATTTATGACAAAATAAGATTCCATGCCGGTCTTCAAAATCTGGGCAAAAGTCTGCAGAGCAAAAAAATTTTAAATTAGAACTGGCGGCCATTTTGAATAAATTATTTTTTAGCAAATGTCATAGTCTTGTCAAAAATACTTATTTCTATACTATTAAATCAAAGTTTGTCATAAAACAAGCATCAGGAGCCAATTTAATGCAAAATCCGAGAAAAAGTGATTATATAAATGATATTTTTAACAAAGGTTATGATGTCATCAAAAATACTTATTGTAATAATAATAGAATAACATAATTCGTGGGAAAGAAATTACTTTCTGCAGCTATTCTCAATTCAAACATACGAAAACAAAGAATCGGTAACAAAATTTAATGTTTATATGCCAGATCGTTTTACAAAAAGATACATGAGCTTTGCAAACAATCAGTCAACTCAGTCCTCTTCATCTGATGAGGTGTCCAAATCAGAGTCTATCACGTCGGAAAACTCAGAATCAATCTCTGAGTCATGTGGAGGTAAAGTGTTGGATAAGGTAAGAGGAAGCGGAGGTTGCGTGTGTCTCACTGGTTTACAACACCCATTGATGAGTTCCCAACCGTGACCAACAGGTGAGGGATGAGTTCTTAGTTCAGGATGACGTTGGATGTAGGCCAAGTAATTAGCTCGGAGAATGTGCTGCTTCAGACTGTCCGAGTTGGGTGGAAGACGCATCAAGGATTTGTTCTTTTGCCCTTTCCACTTAGCTGCTCTGGTAATATCCAGAGAAGAACTATGTACATCACCGTATACAAACCGTGTGACATAAGATACGAGGTCATTTAGAACATCTTCTTTTAAAGGAAGGCTCTCCCCACAGCTCGAAAGAAGTCTGCGGCACTCAACACTCTTTACCATTTTGTCATAGAGGGTCGATTTACCATGACCATAAAAGCAGCTATTTGCATCACAGCCAGTCATGACAAGGAATTGGATAAGACATTTAGCGATGTCCTCGTCAGCACACATGCCTCTGCAGAAAAGCAATTCCTTCTTTTTCTTGATGCAGATTATACCAGGAACATCATGCGAAATGGCAGCTGCCTGTATGTAGACATCTGTGCCCGCTGCATCTATGACCACAGGGTCATTGTAACCAGACGCCCTCAGAGCTGTGTAAAATGACAGTATGATGGTGTCAGCCTCGCACTGATCGAAGGCAAGGTCTTGTTGAATACTACCAGATGAGAGATTTACACATTCTACACCAACTGAATAGAGCAGGACTTGATTGATTGACTGGACAACTTTAGATAGTTGAGACTTAATAAGTGCCTGCAGACGTCTCTAATTCCCGGAACAGCAGAGAAAGGTCTTAAAATCTCGGGCTGATGGAAACTTGTCAGTTGATTTCATATACACATTGGGAATATGACCTTGCCCCTGGATACGCGACTCACGCTCGTCATCTTTGATGGATTCAACGTGATCATATGGGTCGTTAATGCAGATAATGGTAGCAGCGTCCACATGGCGTGCAAGTAGCATGCTGGTAACTTTGTCGGTGTAGTCACCCCAGGTATAAGTAGACCCATCGTTCTTTTCTCGGCCCTCCATAGTGGGAGATGCAAGTCGCCAGATCATCCCCATGTCAACCAGCGCGGTATAAGATGAGACATCAATTGGCTCTTGTGTCAGTTTCTGGAGTATCTTGCTCTTCTGTGTCTTCCTGAAGGTACCATTAACGTTGAATAGCGTGAGACACCCCTCAGTTATGCAGTATTTCATTACATCAGAAAGCATCATCAAGCCGCTGACATCAACAAGATTAACTACAGACGCCAAAGCTATGTTTTCCGTTTCTCCCTGTTTAATTAACTTTAAGGACTTCGCCAATTTTGGTCGTTGGTGCTTTAGCGAAAGTGAGACGAGAGTGACGCTTGATACGATCATACAGAGACTTTTCCTTCGAATAAACACGCTCGTCCATGAATTCTTTCAACTTTGCTTCACCATCTTGTTTGGGCTGTCTGGAAATCATGGATCATCTCAGTTGGAGCGGGAATTGCTGATTGCAAGGTTCGTAGATTTGGTGATGACACGTCAAAAGGGAAGCAATGCAATGAGATCCTGGACAGCTTGTTCGTCCTTGCACATTCTTGCGGGAGCACACTCAGAATGTGTTCGTGATTTTTGCTTTCTGTTGTTTTGATTGTGAACAGCGGTGCAAACTCGACCAAGATTGTTGGCATTTCTGATGCATTTCATCAGCTGCTTCTCATTACGGAGGATTGACGGCCAACCAGCCTTT